CGCCCTAGAACACTATGTCGCCCAGGCTGGTCTCGAACTCACAACGATCCTCCTGCCTCAGCCTCCTGAGTGCTGGGATTACAGGCGTGCACCACCACACCCACCTTGCACTCTCTTATCCATAGAGGAACCTGTCAGCCCTGCAGCTCCACCCGCCAGAATCCCAGGGGTCCCGAGAGCTTTGGTCAGGCCAGGCAGGTCCAGGATGGCCCAAAGGAAAATGCAAGGGCTCCAGGGAGGAGTCAAGGAGGACTTCTAGGTGCAGAGGGGCCACTGCCTGTGTCCGGGGGTGGGGTCTCCTGTCTGCTCCGCCCTGCCTCCCCCCCCCCACATCCTGTGGAAACCCCTGACTAGGGGCCGACAGCACACTTTCCATCTGATCTTGGAGGCTTTCCCTTCATTTTCCCCTCAGTGCCGCGGATGGAATCCTGGCCATGTGCGCACTGAGCTACCCCCACCCCCCTTCCATTTCTAACGAACACACAGTTCCGCCTGGCACAGAAGCAGGATGCCAGTGACTGTCCAGGATGGAGTTGTCAGTCTTCACTACAGGTCAGAGAGAGGCAGACTAAACAGAGCAATCGGCTGACATCCCGCGTCAGGGCGAAGGGGAGATCTCTACACAGTGACTTCTTTTCCAGGGCTCTCCTGGAAGAGTACCCAGGGGAACAAAGGTTTCCTAAAGGTCCCTGGCGCCACAGCTCTGCCTCAGGCACCTGAGTTCTGCGGCTCTGACCTGGAGTGAGTTGCTCAACGCATCGGAGCCAGTGCCTCCTCCTCAAGCAGCAGCGCTCTGCTCTGCTCTGTAGGTGAAGTAACACGTACCCCGGCACCTGTTAATTAATGTGATAGTCACGCGGGGTGCTAGGCTGTGTGTGGGCGATAAGGAGTCTCCATCGCCAGCCAGCAGAGCTCTGTTTGTGCCACACGATGCACCCCAACTCTAAGCCCTATGCTCCAGGGAGAGGAAGGGGCACTCCCAGGCAGCGTCTCTAGCGGTGGAAGGAGCTCGGAGAGCGAGGTGAGTACACACAGGTCTCCCACGTCCCAGGCCCGCTGAACCCCCGCTGTCTTGAAGAAGCTCCGGGGCCATGTGGATGCTGTCCCAGGAGTGGCTGGTGGCCCAGCTCTGGGCAGTGGAGGTGGTGGGTGGGGCTTCCAGGCTGCTTTATCTGAGTGGCAGATGGGGCAGACACCGTAAGGAGCCGGCCAGCTGAGATGAGCACAGGCTCCATCAAGCCTGTGGGGGTGGGGGTGGGGAACACACAGCCGTGGGCCTGGCCTCACCCGACCCCATGGGCCTCAGGTGCAGGGGCAGAGGCTG